CGCAAGCTTGCCCGCTACCCGGAGCTCGCCCGTGGTGGCCCGCACCGCTTGTGTGTTCCCGCTGCCGAGATGGGTGGACGCTTCGCAGCGTGTTGTGCAACGCCTCGTTGCCTTGCGAGCACACCGCGCTCCCGCCACGTTGCGCGGAGCAGCCGTGCAGGGCCGGGCAAGGCGCTGGTGGGGGTCTCTGGCGGTTGCTGTCCAGCGTGCGGCTTGCAGTGCTGCCTCAGGCGTATGGACGATGCCCTCACTGCCCACTGCCGATGGGGATCTCCCCATCGCAGAGGCCCTCCGCCTTGCAGCTGGCCAGGCGCCCAGCAGGCCGCCGCTGCGGTAACGGTTTTGCACCTTGCTTCGGAGCGCCTCGCAGATCAGCGGCGCGGGTCAAGCACCTCAGTAGGGTAACTCGGGGGGGGGACCGGGCACATCGTTGCAGGCGGAAAAAGGTGTGGGCCAAAAAAAAAGAAGTTTCAATCATTTTCACATTTTTTCTCGTCATTTTTCATGATTCCTCACTTTTTTTTTTATTAAATGATTCCTAAATATTTTTCCACTTTGTTATTAGTGTTGAGGGTTTAGGGTTTGAAATTTATTTCTCCATGATTTTCAATCATGTCGCATCATGTTTGAATGTGAGGCCGAGCTCTCACCTGAGACTAAATATTTAAAAATAAGAGGACGCAACGACAAAAAAAAACAAAACTATCAAATTGATTTTGCGTCCGCTCTTAAATATATCGAGGTCCAACCGCTGCTTCCTGCCTTGCTAGCAAGCGGAACAAAATGATTCATGCTGAATGATCCACATCCATGTTTGCACGCCAACTTCAACCGCCCACTTTCGCGTCAGTAGTTGGAGGCTTAGGATTGTGGAGGCAAGTACCACGCAATGATCTTTGTATACATGCTATCGGGTTTCTTTGTCGACTGGCGTGAGAAGCAACAAGCCCATGCCCCCATGATGATTCCACATCATTAAAGGCAAACGTGTTTGACAATCCCCAGTCGAAATAGTTTTCAGATTTTCCGGAGATTTGTAGTTGTTCCACCGATAATACAGCATAGTACGCTCAGCACAAGCTAACCCACGTGTCCCGCAGATTTCCCACATGCAATGCCTGGACGTCCAAATCCACCGCCATTGCCAGCTTGTGGCTATGTCGTAAACGCCACAAAAAAAGGCCAACCCCTACCATATGAATGCATGCAGATATCTTTTCAAAAGCCAGTTGTGGAGGCAGTGTGCCAATCAAAGTGGAGTCGCGAGCCAAAGGCAAAAAGGTGGGGACATTTGATGTGGCCGTCCATTCTTTGGAAAAACCTTTCTGTGGTCCTTCTGACCCAGGTGACCATAGTTTCTGGTGTTCAGGGTGATGCACAGCTAGCCACTCAGAATCTGCGATGTCATGTTGTGAGCTGAGCTGTGCGCGTAATAGCGTTGCCATGCCTTGCACTCCAGCCGGCTTCGGGCTTTGAGGTCACTTGTGTCCGCGCTTGGCAGCTTATTGGGCTGTGGTGGTTCCGTATGCCACGCAGCTGGTCAGACGCAAGTCTTGGTTCAAGGCCGCAAGATGCAACGCCGGTTAGCCGCTGTAGCGGTAAAACGTCATGTATGTTTCCTATTCAACTTCACATGGCTCTAATCAGCGGTCCGTTATGATAGTTTTTTTTTTCAATCAGTTTTCTTTTTATAGCGTGATTGTCTGCGCGTAGGAGACCAGACCGAGCGAATTACAGCCACCTTGGAACAACTCGGCTGCTTGCGTGGGGTGGCCAAAGCCGTATCCAAGAAGAAAACACCGGAGGCTTGGGCACCATAATACGTGTTGTTAGCAGTGCGGTGATATGTCTGATTAAAAGGGGTGTTGATGTGTTTCTTTGCAGTGTTAGGTGCGCCACACATTCTGCACCGAAAAGATAGACGTCGTTTTCATAACATGTGCGACGTGGAAATGAGTTCGAAATCCGAGTACGGACAAATCATCGAAACCTGCAATGGTCCCCTGATCCTTACAGACGCTGACCATGATCTGCAGAAGAACGATTCTTCTTACCAACAGCTTTTTGGGTTTAGGTCTTGCGGCCCACCACACAGCTAGGCGGCTTAGCATAAGGGTTGCTTCAGGGTGGCAGGGTTTTAGGCACAGGGCGCTGCGGGAGCACTGCCGGGGCATGAGGAGTAGCTTATCATAACTTATCTGATGAATTGGAAGAATTTTGAGACATGCGTTTCTCTTTGGTGATGGGAGCTTGTAGCCACCCCGATTTGTTGAGAGGACAGGCTTGCCTTTGTGCAGGTTGTGGCAACTCGTACTTGTGCATACGACAAGTTCCTCCGACAAGGAGACGAGAATAAAGATTTGCAGAAATTGTTGGAAAATGAAGCGCATGCTCCTCAATGCCTTCCAGGTGCGGAGTGTGCCTTGGCCGGCTCATTGGTTTGGGTTGTGTTTTGATGCCTTTTTTTTCTGTGCTGAAAGACCATGAGCCCTCTTGCGCATGGTTTCTTCCCCATGGCAACTCATGACGACTCTATGTTAATTTCATTGAATCATGAAGCTGATCCTTCACACTTGCGGTCCCATGAGGGTTCTTCAAATCAATTGCTTCATCTTCCGGTCAGAACTTGAACGCCTGCATTAATGGATATCGTACTACATAAGCATTTCTTTTTGGCAATGACAGTTTTATAGATTGGTTTGGCCGCTGATCAGCCTTCCATGCAATTGCCAATCACACATCTATGCTACATTTGCCCCACAGCATAAATATAGGGAATCTGATAGGAGGCTCCCACAATGGGGCACCTGAGAATCCCTGCGTGCAGCAAAGCCTCTTTCACTTGCAAAACAAGTGGTCCCGTCTTCCATTACCAGATGGCAAAGAGTCATGACCCGGCCGAAGGCTCCTGTTCCGCAGGCCGCTATCACACCTGAGATGTTGACATGCATGTTCCTCCCTGCACGGAGGGTTCGCCAATATCCACCGCAATAAAAATGCGCCCATCGCGAGCACAGTACGGTACGGCTAAGAATAAATGCCAGGTTTCCGTTGGCATGGACTCTGGGTCTACTGCCGCGGATGCTGTCAGCAAACGGATTTTAGCGACGTGTGGGAGGAGCGTTTCTATAGTGTTCTTGGCAATTCTTTTTTCATTTCCAGTTTGTCAAGTCCCGCAACCACGCTTGCAACGGATTTTGTTCAGGATTTCCTGCATATAGGTTTAGATGGTGAGATGTCATTGGATGCCCCGTCCACAGGCAACTTGGCTGCAGAGGGGTAGTGGCAGCGTTTTTTGGCGTGGAACAAGCAGAGATATGCTGGGCTTTAGCCTCTGAGGCGACAGCCACTTTATCGCTGCACCTCGAGTGCACTCGACCGTGGCAGGCCTGGACGGAGACCTGCGGAAGCTTGGGATGTTGGCCGAAGTTGGTGAAGCTGCACAGACTTGGGGCCTGCGGCCATCCAATGCTAGCGAAGCATGGAAAGGCCTCACTTTGGCGGAATATCGACGGAAAGCCGTGGCGCCTGGTGCCAGGCTTTTGGAGTACACGCCGACGGGAGCTGAGCGGACCAAGCCGACCGGCACGCCAAGCGTGCGCGCGCAAAGAGCCGCCCAGAAATTACGAGCTCCGAAGCCCCAGAAACCTCCACCGGAGCAGGGAAGGTTTGCTTGCCCGACCTGTGGACATAATTTCGGTCTGCGCGTGACCTTGAAACAGCACATGATGTTGTCCCATGGTGAGAAGCTTACTGGTCCAGTTCCAAACCTCATGAAAGTGAAAGATTCACAGCCCCTGTCTCGACCGCGGGCCCCCGCAGTCCCAGCGCGACCACCGTCTGCACCCAAGCCAGCAGGCGTTGCACCCAAAACAGTGCAAAATATACCTAAACCAGCAAGCGAAAGCTCGAAGCACGTCCATCTGGCGGACAAAGATCTTCCTGCAAGTATGGACTTGACACCGTCAGAGCAGCGCCAGCTTGAGGAGAGGGAATCAGGGCGCGAGTGCCCCATTTGCGGCCTTGGCTTTGATTGTTGCCTCCTTGTGCTTAATATTGTAAAACACGGCATAAACCTATGACTTGTTTGGCTAACTGGCAGGCAAATTTGCTGTCGCGCTTTCACCTGTACTCAGGTAAGCACTGCATCGTGGGCCAGCCCCTGCATGAACATGTCGAAAATTGCCTCTCTGCACTAGAAGCCCTGGCTGGATCCGGATCCTATGCGTGGACTGAGTGTCCGATTTGTAGAGCACCTGGTCTCTCATGAAAGTTGCATCAAATGTTCCCGCACTGCATGGATTGCTGTGGAGTTACAGTTGTAGGCCCTCAAACGCATGTGGCCCATGGACTAGAATTTGCTTGCAGTTGAGGAGAGGGTCCACCCAGATCTTCTCCATTCCCACGTGGAAAGTTGCCTCGCCGTCGCCAACGGCAAGGAGTCATCAGACAGCGAAAGCGATGCCGGTTGGGAAAGCCAAGAGGCCGACCTGGACGTTTGGAACACGTGTCCTCTGTGTGAGGCACCTCAGTGTAATTGTCCATGTAGATCCTGCTTTCTTCGACACAGCACTACAAATGCATGACCCTATTTATGCCGAGGAGATTGTTCACCAGGATGCGATCGCCGGCCATGTTGAGGCGTGCATTGCTGCCTACCAGGCGAATCACAGTGGCGGGTCTTCGCCCGAAGAGGAAAGCGGAGAGGCCAGTGACGGCGCCCAACTCAACAAGGGATAGAGTTTATATGCGCCTCAAGGTTTACAATTTGCAACCAAATCGTGCTTGTGCATCCGTCTTTCCCGCTTGGGGGTAGCTACTTGCCTCAGAGCTCAGGTGTGCAAGATCTCGAAGCAAGTCGTGGTACTTCCGCGCAGCAGCTGCTTGTGGAAGGTGAAGCTTTGACCCGTGGGCCCTGGCACCCCCATACTACGTAAGAAAATTGAGATAATTAGATGCCTGTTGTTCAGTCCGGTTTGGCTAAAAAAAGGTTGCCATGTAGCATGGGCCTTTCAACTTGTAAGCCCCTGCGAGGTTTGCCGGTCTGCGTGGTGGTGCGCAAGTGCCATTCCCAAGGCCTGCGTAAGAAAGCCAAACAAGCCTGGCTGAACGTACCTTACTTGTATTTAGGCTCAGGGTTTGCTCTGCTTTCTCGCCCAGGGGTCCTCCAGGATTTTGCAACAGGCCACCGCCATTCACAGTGCATCTAGACTTCACGCAGCTTTGCATAAATTCAAATCGAGTATGCGTGGTATTGTGTTTGGGGATAGGAAGCGCCTCTATACGGTTCTAGAGATTCTAGTATCCTACAAAAATGTTCAGTGGCAGCGCGGGTGCTGCCTGAGCGGTTAGCTGCGGACGGGGGCAGGGGCTGGGGCGGATGGCTGTGGATGGGGTGTTGGAAGAAAACATCGCCAAAAGTCGCCGTGCTGAGGAAACCTGCAAGCCTACCAGCAATCAACCTCGACCCCTCAAAGCAGACCTCCAACAGGACCAGCAAACTTGAATCAATTTCGTTTCTTGTTGCTAGTATAGGGTCCTTAGAGCCAAATGCCCCAGGCCTCCGGCCAATTTCCCTTAGTGCTTGAAGGCGAACACCAGCTGCAGATGGAAGAGGGGGAGGAGTTTGCCCTAGAGTGGGAACAACCCCCTGAGGCTGCCTTGGCTAAATCACTGCTCCGGCTAGGCATCTGGGGTCGGTGAAAGTTTCGGTGCGCGTTTGGGTACCCTTCATAAGGATACTGAGTTTTGGGGGGACATACTGGGAATAGAGAGATGCGACAAAATTCGTCTTCCAACATAGTAGCGCGGAGCCTGAGGCCGTTTGAGTGCGTAGGTTGTGGAATGAAGGGCTCAAGCCTGGGGCTTTCGCATCATGAGAAAGTTGCAGCGGTGTACCCTCTGACTCAAGGCTGCTCTTCCACAAGAGCATTCCTTCATCGCGTTACAACGTGTAATTAGCAAAGTTATTTTTGACAATGCAACATGCATCATTGCTGTGGTTTTCATGCGTTGAATGTCTTGACAAAATGGCATAGGCTTCCTGTTTGATGTTTTGGTCAGTTCGCTTGAAGGCGTTAGGTGACAGGACCTCTTGGGATTCTTCTACAAGTTGGACTCATAGGTTCACAACCCCGCTGAAAAGGTTCTAGATGCTTGGCCATGCCCCATAGTTGAGATCCCCGGAATCACGGCAAGTACTCTGATGCTGGACCTTGCCTTCGGCACTCAGCCCTTCTTGGCTGCGAGCCTCTTGTTGCCCAGGAGGGAGGATATTGGGCCTATGGCTATCGCCTTTATTTGGGAGATGATGGCTATGCTCCGCTGGATGGAGGAGTCTTGAACATTGTTTTTGTCTTGACTTCTACGCCCTGTGACCTTTTTTGTTTCATGCCTGCCCACTACACAAAATCCCTGCATGCCAAGTGAGGATACATCCCCCTGTCACACATGAAGAAGATGTGCGACGACGTGGAGATTCCCGCATCAGCAAAGTCTGCAAAGCCAGATCAGATCGTGCAGGAGGTGTGGGGGCGGAGCTTTGTGTTACTACGAAAGCAGTGCCGCCGGCTATTACAGCCGTCTTTGCAGGGTGTAGGACTTTTCGCAGGGGTGGCCGTTCTGCTCAATGGCAAATCTTGCTGACTGCTTTTTGGTTGCTATGTGCGACGGTCCAAGAATGCCTTGGTTGGAAGCTGCGGGGACGATGTCAAGGGCAATATTTGTTATTGGCAGGACCATTCGTACCTTTTCATCAGCATTGTTGTCGTTCAGCTTCCCGTTTAGGCCCCAACGGTTTGAAGCCCTCGAGCGGCCCAAGTAGCTAGCTGACACCTTTTGAGGGTGGCAGGCAATGGTAATGCGATGAGTCCACAGTCCCAGTCCCACCTGCCGATTTCAACGCCAGCGGAAAGAATCATGCCAGAAGGTCACAACGTGGCTTATGACTCTGAGACCCTTCGTGTAAGCTGCAAGCCCTTCACGACTTTCCTCTGGTTCCTTTGCCTTTGTGACGTATAAGCATGGAGGGTCTCACGATGGCATCTCCAGGCCCCGGCAGCAGATGGAATCTCTCGAGCGAATCCTGTGCCCTGGGCCTGAACAACCTGCGCACGTTGGGAAAAGAGTTCCAAGTACAGATAGATTCTACGGATTCCAGCTCTCTTTCTTTGGGTCCTGCTCTTGGGAAAATCCGAAGAGGCTCCTGACTCGTGGAAACAAGCTTTTGGGCTACCAGCGTGCCTATCATGATGTGAGTCCTTGCACGGCTCTTGGGAATATTTCTTTCTTGCTGTTACTTCTTTTCAGCAGCCAGCAACTGCACCAAAAGGTTTCCCCCTCTCAGGATCAAGATGCCTTGTGTAAACATCTGGAAAAGGTATACCCCAAGCATGAGGTTTCTACATGCGTCGCCCAGGGACACGCCCACCAACATACTCAAGGATTGATCAGCTTATGCAAAAGGGGAGAGTCCCCAGGTACCCCCAGGCGAGGAACCGTCATAAAGGCGCGCCCACCCCATTTGCCGAGAAGGTTTGGTGCAGAATTTGACCAGCAGCAAGAAAAACATGCCTGCGGTTATCTGTGTTCTAAATTTCGAAACCATCCTATGACCTGGTTGTTTTCATCCACGAAGTAGTAGGTGTAAGTTACTGAACTTCAAGGCCACTTTCGAGGGACCCTGTCTACCCAGGTCAGGGACTTGAATACTGACAGCAGACCAGAAGGCCAGGCGAGTGTTTTCGCCTTTACGGATTACACGGCTTGGCGGCTCTAGATTTGGGTTTTCTGTCTTAGAGGGATACATACACGCATATATATGTATACACGCATGTAGATCTTTGTTCTTCTAGAGGGCTTGCAATAGACCTGAGCATGGGGGGGGGGGATAGCAGAGGTGTGGGGAATGATCCTAGGTAGCTCTCTAGCAGAACTGGCAGTTGTTGGCTCTGGGCTAAGCGGGTTCTGATGTAGGCATGGCCTTCCACCCTAGCCCCTTGTACCATCCGGGGGTGTGTCATGGTTGATGGTTTTTCTTTCGCATCGCTGCCTAGTTCCAAGGAGTCCCCCGCAAACACTGAAATCTGTGAGTTGTAGGCTTGATTGTTGGGCTGATTATCATGCTTGTCGCGATGCCTGTTGTCATGATCATACTGAAAGAGCTCATCATGGCTCATCATGCAACCCTTCCATCTCCGCACCCTAAAGTTGACATGTAGAACAGTTGAAGAACAGGTGCGGCAAAACCCAGTGCCTCAGGCCAAGCCCTACCAACCCTAACCCTGACCTTGAACCCAAAACCCCGAAACCTAACCTAATCGCAATAGAGTGACTCCTGCAACCCGAAAGCAAGCCCTGAACCCTAAACCCCAAACCCTAGCCTACAATTCAGAGGCCGTATCGTCTCCAGGGTTTTGAATGTCGAGGCCCAGCAACGACCCTCCGGGATGCGGAGCCGTCGTCCCCCAGCCGGGCTGAGGGTGGGGATGCGGAGTCGCCAGCGATGATGGAAGGCCTTTATGGCTCTGAGTGTTTTTGGGATTCAGTGGCTTCTAAAGGACTGTAGGGCCCTTTGTGGCTTCCATGTTCTGTGGGTTTTGGTTGGGAGCTGGGGTTTGAAGTATAGGATGGGTTCAGTTTGGGCTTGAAGACTATGGTGTAGGGTTTGGGCCAGGGGAACCCTTCCTGAAGTTTGGTGTGGCTGCGCTTCTGATCGTTCTTTCGAAGGTTTTGTGTGCCTTTCTCAGGTCCCCATATGGACCCGTGATCTGGAAACCTCTGTTCTCCTCTCATAAGCAAGGTATAAAGTAGTAAGGTATATATGCGAATGACATCAGCATTCTCTTAAAGCGCGTAGTCTGGAAGGTGGATTGGAGTGCAAGCCTGATGGAAGGGAAAGGCCTTCTGCCCCCCTCCTTCGTCCCAGGTAGTCGTGCGAGATGTTGGGTACCAAGTTGCCTAAGATTGCCTTTTGAAACAGATTCGGGGGGAGGATGCTCAGCATAGTTCTTGCCTGGCGGAGGCTGCAGCCAAGATTTTTTGCAAACATTTTTCACGAACTGATTAAAAGGTTGGAGCAAAGCGTCAAAGTTGAGCCGTTGAGTCGTAGAACTTGAGGCAGGGATCCTTGACCCTGCACTGAAAATTGCCCGTGCAACCTCCGTGCTCAATCGCGGAAGGATTCTGATGGGGTTCCTGTGCCATGACCGGTGAGAATCTGGAGGGAGCCCTGAAGCCCCCAGAACATGAATTTCAAGTTTGAATTAAATCCCCAGGCTCTACTCTACACCCTAAAGCCGGACGACCCCCAACATTGGACAGGTGCTTTCTGCAAAATCCTCATGCAGCATTTCCGTCTACATCACAGGCTCCCCAGACAGCCCAAGACAAAGGCTCACAACTCTAGAAGCTCAACCTTAAGCTCTACACCCCTGAAATGGCAGGTGGGTCTCCTTCATGTGTATTGTCTTCCCTCCCTCAACTCCCAAGAAGCCGAAGGCCTCCCGGTGTGCGTGGTCGTCCGCCCGTGCCACCCAAAAGGGCCTCACCAGCTCGAGACGCTCAGCGACATGCTTACACAGATATACCGACACAAGGATTTAAGCATATGGATACCAAGTTCAATGTCCATTCATATGTATTTGTGTTTATTAGGAATATAAATACACACATTTATTCATTTATCTATGCAATTGTAGACACGTAGGATTTTATGTGTAGACATGTAGGTAGGATTCACTGCAAGTTCAATTTCAGAAGAATGTGGCAGTGAAGTGGCAGTATCCGATGTAGACTGACATGGGATCAAGGCACAGATGTGTGCATCTGCTTTGTTCTATGGCTTATCCTGTATGAACTTTTCTATGCCTTGGCAAGCGGATTTATGTTGCAGTTTACATATTTTCTGTTCCGTGATTACGTGAGGATTGGATGTGTGAAGGGTTTGCAGTTTAGGGCTGAGAGCTTGGGGCTTAGCAAGTTGAGCACTGGGGGTTGAAATATTGGGGCTAAGGGTGCAGACTACAGAGTTGGACTTGGAGATTGGGTTGCGAAGCAGGGATTTTCTTCGTGGGGTATAGGGGATGTATATATGGTGGTAGTGTTTGGGATGGGGGTTTATCAGAAATGGCCCTGGTATCTGGGTACATCAGAAGAGCGTGCATCATGAAGATCATAATCTGTCATCCCTTCTTTTGGTTTTCATGTTGCGGATTGCCTGGAGCCTATGGCCCAAAGGATCTCCTCTGTCTATAAGAGGGTCTCATGTGCTCTTCTCTTATGCTCACTGCATATTGCAAAATTCTTGAAGGCTTGCGTCATCCTGTAGCAATTCCCGGCAGGCTGGTCGAGGGCGAAGAGTTCGTTTTGGAATGGGAGCAGCCCGGAGAGGCAGCGACTGAAAGTAGGGTGGCTTGAGGGGTGGCATGGGATCCCAGGGTTCTTGGAGGGTGCGTTGACTGCAGCTCAGCATTTAGTTGGCTGGCTGTGTGATCCGCATTTGAAGCCCAGCACAGTCCTGACTCACATGAAATCCAGTTTTTACGTCCCAAGCTACAAGCCACTTTCTTTCTAGCACGCTGCACAACCCCCCGGCAACCATTGACAGAAATCCAAGCACGACTCCCATGCTCATCAGTCAAAGTACGCGTGCAAGC